TTAATATATTTTTTGTAGAGAATTTTACGACACATCTTTTAAGAAAACAACAAAGTTTAGGGGATAAAATCCAATTAAGATATGAGCAAAATACTAAGTGACCGATTTATTCTGGAACACCCGTTAGTAATAACGAGAACAAAAATTTTTGAATTTATTTTCTAAGTCAATCGTATAACATGTCTAATAATTAACTGTCTTTCATGTGACACATTGATAGAAATCTGCATGAACAACATTTTTCTATTGTCCATAAATTGACTGCTTTATCTATTTATAGAAGAAAAAAAAGAATATTTTGTCTAGAAAAGTAAATATTTATTTTTCAAAATCAGAAAGACAACATGTAGTTTCCTTTTAATATGTTGAATATTTGAAATAGATAAACAAGAAATATACGGAAAAAAAATGTTTGTTATCTGAGACTTCTTACCGTTTTAAACTTTTGATGACTATGAACAAGTTTATTGAATGTAAATCTCTACGCATTAGCCTATTTATCTGTTACACAGTAGTATTGTAAAAGATAGTGACAAGTTTATATGTTAATAATCATATCTGTTAAAACTTTTTGCATTTTATACTTTAGTCCAATATTCAAATTAATTTGGTTTTGTTTATCGTACCTATTCATCTTTATTTTTATTGTTTTTATCATTTATATGGTTGCAATATGCCTGGAATAAATTTTAATTATGATCGAGTAAGTATATACATTTATCATCTGAAAGAGAGAGAGAGAGAGAGAGAGAAGAGGCTATGCTAATTTAAGCCCTCCCCCACTCACGAGGGAAGGCTACCAACTGTCCAATCGCTTTTGAAACGAAACCTAGTTGATTATAGGTTATCGACTATGCTGATTCCGAATATGACTATGGCAGCCGCCCATAGGTCTCTGGAGATCTGGGTTTCGGAAAACTAAAAAATAACCCAAAACTTTCTTAATGGAGCCTGATTGTAGCCTGCACATTTCTGATTAAAATAAGATATCTTCCAGCTGTATACGACCTTTCTTTGCAAAGTTATAGGATTTATAAGAAAAGCCCTAAGTTAATTTTTTTCTTATTTAAGCTGACAATGAACATGTAGGGCTTGTCTTGTAAATTCTATAACTTTGCAAAGAATACTCATGTAGAGCTGGGAGATGTCTCATTTTAATCAGAAATGTGCAGGCTACAATCAGGCTCCATTAAAAAAGTTTTGGGTTATTTTTTAGTTTTTGAAAAGCTGGTTTTCCAAAATCTCTTTTCCTAAATATGTTTTTTATTGAAATATCTGTCACTGCAAAATATATGCAAAAATACATGTCTCTGCATACTCTCATTGGACTTAGCATACGCAAAAACCTATGGTGAACTATTATTATATTTCTTTCCTTCGTTTTCCATTTCGTAAATTTGTTTCACGTTTTTTCTCAAAATCTCTTTTTACGACTATAGCGTTTCGTACGTCCAAGATATCTCCGTCCTTTTTTGAGCTAGGAATTTCGGATTGGTTTCAAAAAATAGAGAAATATTTTTTCTATGTTGTGACGTCGTTAGATTTTTCAATTTAATTTTAGCTTAGGAGAAATTTAAAAGTTTCCGAAAAGTAAATAAAATCTCTTTAACTTGTCGGAAACTTTTTAAATTTCTACTAAACTAAACTTAAAGAAATATTGTAACGTCGTTGGATTTTTCAATTTATCTTTTGAAACCAGTCCGAAATTGCTAGCTCGAAAAATGGCGACAGAATCTTGGAAATAGGAAACCATACTTTTTCACCACTACTTTAAGAATAACTCTGGAAAAACAAGTGATAAGAGGCTGTAATTAGTAGAAAATAGGTGAAAAAAATTTTTCATACTTTCTTTTGGCTTTTGGCTTATATTCATAGATTGTATTTCAGGTAGTTAAAAATAGAATGATTAGAGTATAGAGGTCATTATGTAATGAAATAAATTTATAATTGTGAAATATTTTATCTTTTTAGAATCAATCGGTCGAACGTCAACACGATCAACAACATCAATCTCAAAATACATTTCACGGTAGTCCAATTCATCATAGTCGAAGTCAACCACAATATTACTATCAACAACCCACTCATCATTCAGTTCAACATTATACAAATACGCAACAACAACGTAGTAGTCAAATTAAATATAGTAATAGTACATCAGATACAAATTCGCCAACAAAGTTAACAAATAACAATAGTAATCAGAATAATAATAATAATAATAATGTTGAAATGATAATTGAAATACCAAAAAAATGTGAATGGAATGAATTAGAAATAATGGGAAATGTTAAAAATTTATCTCCAACATTATGGACATTAACAAATTTAACTGTTTTATATTTGAATGATAATCAAATTAGTCGTTTACCATCAGAAATTGCCAATTTGACAAATCTAGTCACATTTGATCTTTCAAATAATAAATTAAGAGGTTTACCAGCTGAAATTGGTATGTATTATGCTTATCTATTATTTAACATTTGAATTTATTATCAAATATTCTTGATTTTTTTATTGTTATTCTTATTGTTTTAGGTGATTTAATCACGTTAAGAGAATTAAATTTAACAAACAATCAAATTCGACAATTGCCTTATGAACTTGGAAAATTATTTCGTTTGCAAAGTTTGGGTATATATTTTACTTAAATTTTTTAGCTTTTTATTCTTTCACTGTTTTTCATCTTATTTTCTTTTAGGTTTAATGGCTAATCCACTACCACCTGAAATTTTATCATTGTATAGTGAACAAAATGGAACACAAAAACTTATAACATATTTTCTAGATAATCTTCCAGCACCAATGAATGGTATGAATATATATGAGGCATGTGTGTTTGTGTGTATATGTGTGAATGAGCAGTAAAAGAACGAGTTCGTCATGGGTTTTCTTTTCGTATGCGTTTCTTTCCATCTTTCAACTTCTAATTTTATCATTGAATTATATGGAAAACATGATTGGTTGTTAACAAATGGTACAAAGTCACTTCAACTAAAAAGTAAGTTTAAATTTCTGTTTTTATCGTAATTTGATTGAGAAATGATGATTTTCTATAATTATCCGAATATCTTAAGTCTAACAGATCCGAGATGAATTAATTCTTAGACTTAATTATAGTGAATTATTCGAACTATCAAGTAGTAGTTGACAGTTCAGTTCATCGCCTTTGAATCAATGAAATTTTGTTCTTTAGTTTCCTTTTTTTTATGAATTTTTAGAATTTATACATGAATTAACATTATTCTTCTTTTCAATATGTTGACTAGGTATGCATCAGTTACGGACCAGTTATTTCTGATTGTTTTTTTAGGGTGTCCAGGAAAATTGTTATAACACAGTTAGTAGAAATCGCTCAGACTTGTGGAATGTCTCATTTTGTAATCAAATATTTGTTCTATGTATTTGTTGAAATAAAAAATAGTTTAAAGTTAAATGTGACAAAAGTATGAGCATTCTTAAATACCATAACTGTACGTAGTCACTGGTCGCTAGTTATATAACGGTTCGTGCCTCTTCATTAATTCGTTAAAAATACTTCTCTATTTCAACCTTTAATTTTATCTTCCGTACAAATACATAGAATAAACATTTTTCTATGAAATGAGGTATTCCACAAGTCTGAGTGATTTTTAATAAATAAGTTATAACAATTTTCTTGGATGCCCTAACACTAGTTATATAACTGATACATGTCTATTATTGACAATTATCGAACTGAAGTAGTTCCTTCATTATATTATTGATGAATCTATTTTAATCGGTTCAGTTAGTAAATATCAAAAAGTTGTTTTTAAATTTTTAAAAAATTTGTCGTATTGATATTCGATCAGATTTTTTATGCAACTTTTTTACTATTAAAATTTCTTTTGTCAAACTCTCTACATATTATACAATTCTTTATAGAGAATTAAATAGCTACTCTTTTGAGATAAGAATAAGATTCAGAAGATCTAAGGGAGCATTTCAAAATGTATGCCGATCGCTTGCCCGTTTGGTCGATCGCAGGTCGTTCTGACACAATGACATTCTAATTTATTTTATTTTGTTTTATTCCAGTTCCTTTGATTGTATTATGGATACATATATACATTGGCATATATATTTATATAATTCCAAGTTACGCTCGCTATTTCTGTATTCCTCTATTCCTTTATTATTACTCTATTATAGAACATTTGTATACTATATATAGTTTATATATATATATCGAGCTTGATTTTATTTTCTAATTGTTTCTACTACTTCAAGAACAATTAACCGTCATGTTTCCAAAGATTATTCATTTATCATGCTATCAATAACATATTTAAAGCAAAAATAGAGAACATCTCTTTTATGTCATACTATTTAATCTTTTTTAGAATAGAATGTTTTTCTTAATATAAGAAAGAACCTATAGTATCGTGTGTTTTTTACTTTATAGAAGTAAAGATTTAGATAAAAAGCGAACTTAAAGATCTAAAAATTAGGGTGAAAACAGAAGAATTTCAAATCAATATCCAATATCATCACAAATCTAAAAAAAATGAATACATTAGAAATATATATATGCCAATGTATGTATGTATCCGTCATATAATCAAAGGAACCGAAATAAAACAAAATAAAATAGATTAGAATTTCACTACGGTAGAACGGCTGAGCGACCGAGCAGTAGAACGACCGGCTGAACGGTAGAGTGGCCAAGCGACCGGCATACATTTTGAAATTCTTCCTTAAAGAGATACAAGAATAATGAAAAATACTAATTATATCATTACTTTTGACATAACCGTTACTCGTATTTACACTAGCAAATATTCTTCTTTTTCTAAAACCATGAGATAATGGTAATTTTTATGAATACGTGTCTAATAAACAAAACAAAAATACGTCATTTTTTTTTTGAACTGAAAAAAATACCAGAGAGTTTATTTTATAATGTTTAACATAATTTTTTTTTCCTGATTAAATAAATAGTAAGAAAAGACATCATTGAAAATAAAATAAGAAGAAGAAAATAATAACTAACATATGCTTAGTTGATTAAATAATCATTCTACTTTCGTTATCCAATAGAATTAGATAATATTAGTGAACTAGATATTTTTAAACAATAAATATTATTATTATTATTATTATCTAAGCCATATTCCATGCATGCATTATAACAATATGATTTTGTTTCTTAGATGAGTTATCTGAATAGGAATAATATACCTCGTCAAGCTCTTCTATCCTCTTTATTTAAAAAAAAAAAGAAGAAGAAGAAATTGTTTTAGTTCTATTGAACAAACTACACATATTCTACCTGGAAGAACAGAAGAAAAGAAGAAGAAGAAAAAAAAAGTGACCTTTTTATAGTGTTTTCTTTTTCTTTTTTTGCATAAAAGCCATAAAATCTGCTTTCTCTATGCTCATACCGATAGCTATACACAGAGGTCATGTAATATATTAGAACTTCTCTTATAGGAGTTCATTTAAAACAAAAAAAAAAAAAGTGTTTTTAACCAGAGAATATAAAATTTTAGTGACGTTTGTAAATTTTTTTTTTTGTTTTAACTGACAATTATTACACACATCACTTTAACTAATCGTTGTCATTTATTTAAACAATATTGTTTATTTAACGATGTTCTCACTTATTAATTTAATAGAGAAAAGGATTGAATAATTGTTTTCTAATGATTGAAATTTTTATTATTTTTTCCATTAATCGTCTGATAAATCTTTTACTGAACACAACGTATGAGTTTGTGTATGGAAAAAAGAAAATGCATCAAAAAATTAGATGTAAAAGTCAAATTCGTCATATAAATGTATATTAATTGAACTCTGTCAGATAAACATGGGGTAAGTAGAAAAAACATTTACGTGTATGTTTCACTTCTATTAAAAAGAAAAAAAATTGACTTCTTTCGTAAACAGAACAGGCAAATAAAGTAAGGTGAACTGTGTTTTCCCATTGATTATGGCAAATAGTGAGAAAGGCGATCTTTTCAAACTGTTGCTTTGTACAAAATGTAGAAGACATATGTATGGGTTTTTTTTTTTCTATTTTATGAAATTATGTTTTAAATTACATGCGTACATACACACACACACGCACTCAAACTTCTATATAGTAATTTTGTTTTACTTTTATCTGTTTTTCTTCTTTTTTTTTTCCTACTGATGGAAGAGAAGGAAAAAAACTCTAAATCTCATATATGAAAATTAGTTACAGATTATAGATTTTGTAAAATAGTAAAGAGGAAAAATAGAGAATGATGTGTACGTGTATGTATTTTCTGAAATAGTCTTTTCTTTTTTTTTTTAATAAAAATCCTTATTTTTCTTCTTTTTTTTTTTTTGTTCGTCGCTGTTTCATCTTTATTGTAATAGATTATCATCAACATAGAAGAAAATGTCATGTGTTTCAATCGTAAGATGACTCTGTGGGTCAGTTTATATTTTCTATATGATTTGGTCAACAATATTATTGAGATTTCTTATTACATACATTATATTTTTGTAATTGAAATTGATTTCTTTGATATTAGAAAGTTGTTTTTTTTCCACCTTTTTGTATTTTGATCTCGACCAAACTTCTAGGACATATTAGTCATATCAAAATATGGTTACGTTGACATTTCAAAGGCTTTATCTATTGTAGTTTAAGAGATGTTGTGAAAATATTGACCAAATGAGGCAGTTTGTATTTCATAAATTTCACTGTCAGATTATATAGTAGTAGCTCGGATTAGTATTAAACTATAGTTAATACATGCAACTAGAAACATAAAAATTGATTTCTTTTCTTAGCATATATACAATGCTTGAGCAAATTTTTTTCATAGAACAATTATAGAATGCAAAAAGGTTATGCAGTATATGAGTTTGTCTTTAGCATAATATTTTGAATTTATAGCTAGGTAACTCGGATACAAATGCATTTCTACAGGTGAGAAAGTACATAAATTTCTAAATAATTCGGTTTTTTCTTGTTTTGTTATTTAATATGCAGTATATCATAATAGTTTCATTAGAAAAACAAAAAGAAATTTATTTCACACACAAAAGCTAAGTATGTAAAATAAGCATTTTGTTTTGTTGTACAATCGTGTTTTATATAAATGTGAATAGAATACTTTGGTTTGATTAATAACGACACAGGTATTTGTCTTCTAGACACTTTTGTCATTCTATATAAGAGAGTCAGTGTAAGAAAACACATTCAGCGCGAATAAGGACAACATTTGTTGTAGAAAAATAATGAAGATTCTCTGATTGTTAGTTGCCAGATTAAGTGATTGTGACAAAATTCTCTCACTCTACCAGTATTTGTGTTATATTGTAGTACAATTACTTGCTCTTCGGAAGTAAGTTTTTGCAGTTTCTAAAATGTAAGAGTATTGAGAAGATATTAGTTCAAGAACTACATTAATATAATCGGTAGTATGTCATAAAAGCAATTATTTATGCAATTATAAATAATCTATGCAATTATTTTGCAGAGTTTATTATAAAATTAGAGCTCATTCCAACAGTAAGAAGCTTTGAAAACTTAATATTTTTAAGTTTTCTAATCTTTTTAGGTGTTATAAATATGTTGATCGGTATTCTGATGTTATTTCATAAGAGTTTTCTCTTTTAGCGAGTGTACCTTGGCCTTTTCTTGATGTCTCGCATGCGCCAGACATATATGTCTGACGTATGTGAGACATCAAGAAAAGATCAAGGTACGCTACAAGAGAAAACTATAGATTCATTGAATTCTTTTGTTTTTTAATCCTTGACAGCTGTTCTCATATTTGGACTTCTTGGCTGCTCAGAGGTCCGGTTAGACCCACACAAAAACGTATGGGAGAAATTCAAGATTTTTACCATTTGATTGAATCTTTCCATGCATGGATCAATGGTCTACATCATGCTCCTTCTAGGCGCGAATATGTTGATACTGATGCAGGGTATGTAAACGTATATTATTTAGAAGACATTTTTGAGAAAGGTTTTACTTAGGATTGACCAAAAGTTCTAAGCCCGGTTTTTGCTGACAACTGCTTTTGTCAACATACTCAGACCCGAAATGATTTATATATAGAAAGATGCAGAATTGAAAGGTCTATACAATGAGCTATAACATATTGTTTCGAGAGTTTGCCTTCATAGATGTATTGGTCAAATATTTGACAAGAAAGCTCGATTTTAACCGAAGTGGTAGACAAAAATGATTCTACTTTTGTCAGCACAATCAGTCACGGAATGATTTTTATATAGAAAACTGCAGAATTGAAAGGGCTACCTAATGAGTTATAACATATTGTTTCAAAAGTTTGTCTTCATAGACGTACTGGACAAATACTTGACAGGCA